AATTTATTCCATATGTATTTTCACATGATATTTAATTTTGATATTAAATGAAAGCTGATACATTACTCTTTCATTTTATAGCAAATATTTGCTGATATCTTTTTAAAGGAATTAATAATAAGTCGTCCCGTGTTTGATAATGAAAAAGAAAAAAATAGGAAAATCACGCTTTATCGTATTTAAAAAAAAACTGAACCATGAGAAAACTCACAAGGTTAAAATGATAGTAAAATGTTCGTTCTATCATCATGTAGATTTTAGCCGTGAGGTATGTCGGTCCATTAAACTCTTAAAATAAGTGACTTTTTCTTGATTTGTCCCTCCACTATATGTGAACAGGTGCACAGAAAAATATACTCACTATTATCTGTGTACGAAATAGACTCATTGTGATTTAATTCAAAGATAACTAATTTTGAAGTTAATGAATGTGCTTAAGTTATTAAATTTAAGTTTTTAATTTGATAGACAGTAATTTTAATTCATTTTCACTTTATTGTGATTTAAATTTTAATTTCCTTTTCTCTGCCCGGAGAATGTTGAAAATACCGCGGGAGATACGACGTCGCGGTTTACCTATTGTATCAAGGGTTGACGTCAGTGCGGGACATAGCCGTAGCATTCCGAATAAATATGAAGTAAACGTTTAGCAGTATGGTTGTTCTTCTGCTTTCTATTTTACGATAGTTGATTTAGCCCCGACAGAAATCATTAAAAGACGGGCGAAACTTTTTCTTGTACAATGAGTGTTATAAAATTTTCAACATAAGCAAATAGTCAATGGCTGCACCTATAGTTTTTTGTTTTTTGTGTTTACGTATATATCTTTACTTAAACGTATTTTTGAGAAATGACACTCTATATTTCAATTCAGCTTTCAGCATAAAATTACTAGCATTTGACACGGCTTTCTTTGATCTTAGAATCAATCGAGAAGTCCTTCAATGTAGGTCAACAATAAATAGTTTCTTCTTTTCACTTTGAAATGTTTTTGGTACAATGAATAATTTTGCAAAATTGCAAACTTTCGGCAAATAGGAAGTGGCTACACTGCAGAAGAAAACCTTGTAACACGCTACAACTTTACATAATCAAAATGCAGACCAAAATACACAATTTATCCCTTCCATAGAAGTTTAGAAAAGTTTCACGAACATTTTGCTTGAACGATAATTGTTGTGCAATTCCAAACTTTCTCCAAACATGGTATTACAAATCTAATCTTGAATCAATCCTAATCCTATCTTATTTTTGAAAACTATTTTTACAAATTAAAATGTGACGTCACTTTGGGTGTTTTTTTAGTATTTCAAATGTGACGTCACTTTGTGCGTTGATGCTTTGGCTAACTCGGCTGTGTATTTTTATATGTTGGATTAAGTTGTTTTATGTAATGTATCCGTTTTTATTCTGTAGTTAGTCCCCACTTCGGTTTTATCATGTATATCTATTATATAATCATTTTATAAGATTTACTGATTGCAAAATTATAAATTATTCTAAATAATAAGGATGTTCTTGTCCCAGGCAGAAAACCCTGGCCGTGTTAAGCGCAACTTTTTGGTAGTTTTGGTCCTCGGTGCTCTTCGGCTTTGTACTTGTTTTGGCTTTCAAGCTATTTTCATCTGAGCGTCACTGGATAATCTTGTGTGGACGAGACGCACGTCTGGCGTATTGAATTTTAAGCCTAGTACCTTTTGTTAGCTATTAAATCATGTGTTTCTTTGTCCTATATGTTCTCCCATTTATTTGTATTGTGGTCCTGTCATGTGATGTTGTCGTTTTGGTGTTGTGTTTGACGTTGCATTTAAAGCGGGAGGTTTGGCATGCCACAAAACCAGGTTCAACCCACCATTTGTTTCTTAAAATGTCCTGTACCAAGTCAGGAAAATGGCCATTGTTATATTATAGTTCATTTCTGTGTGTGTTACATTTTAATGTTGTGTTTTTGTTGTGTCGTTGTTCTCTTATATTTGATGCGTTTCCCTCAGTTTAGGTTTGTAACCCGGATTTGTTTTTATCTCTATCGATTTATGAGTTTCGAACAGCGGTATACTACTGTTGCCTTTATTGGCTGCATGGCAGATGCAAAAACGCTACAACTCATCATTCTCAAACTATAGACCAAATATAAAAACATTTCCTTCCACAGAAGCAACTTTGACTACAATTTTTCTTGTTCAATGAGTGTTGTGAAATTTTGAAATATCAGCGAACAGGAAGTAACAGTACGACAGATATAAAAAATTGTTTACACGGTACAACTGAAGCTGTAGATAAAATATATAATCTTCCCCATTCTTAGAAAAAAACAAAACGAAATTTTCTACACAGGTCCGGACGGACAGACGGACGGCATGACGAACGGTAATTTGACCTGCATGTCGTTGGTAGTGCGGGTAAAAAGATTTTCAATTAAATCTTTGAACTCAGAGCTCTTTAAACTTTTGTAGTCAGTTTAGATACCTTCAAATTTCGATACAACACTCATTCTACTCTCAGTATTATGATTGTCATTCGGAAACCTAAAGAAAATCGAACTGCTAAGGTACCTAATAAAAGGGCTTAAATATGTCAAAGGAATGTCAAAAGCAACAATTTGAAATTGATCATGACCTGTTTTTTACGGTCCAAGACATTGTGTCAAAAGTTCAAAATGTTTAGGCAAGTGTTGAAATATTTTCCAGAGACCAAACTTTAAACGAACGGACAGAACAGACGAACGGAGGAACCGACGGACAAATATGTGTATCACTCTATACAAACTATTGGAGATATAACGAATTGAGTTGCATGACAAAATGTAAATCAATTCAAACAACAACAGAAAAAAATGACATAACGAATGCTAAACCAATAAAATCAAATATGACCGACATCAACCAATAAAAGCGACTGAATAACAGGCTCTCTTGGGCAAACATATACAAAATGTGGCGGGGTTAAAGATGCTTGCGAGATCTCAACCAAATATTCATAACCTAGAACAGTGATGAAATAGCACAACATAAGACCAAACTGTAAAAGTCATATGAAAAGGACTGTAATCATCAAAATAAAAAAACCTAACAAAATAACAAAAAGACAAGAGGTTCTAAAAGTTAGCTCAAAGCCTATCTCATCTAAATAATAGATACATTATGTTTACCTAGACGAAAAGATGAATCAGTACATTTTTCGTATTAAGGCATAATGAACATTACCAAAATATAATTATCAACAGGGTGTATGACCATAAGTGTGCAGAAATGTAGAGCAAAACATATTTTATTATGATTTAATTTATTAGTAGCGATAATATTCCGATACTTCTTAGAGTGTTAAGTTGACACCATTTACGAATACATGACTTAATTTATACAAAGGTTTATATCTAAATTGACAGGCCCTATAAACAGAAACACAGTAAAACTTAGGATGTAATATCTTGTACGGTGTAAGATTCATACATGCACATACAAAATTTCATAACAGATCTTTATATCTATAAAAGAATTAAGTAAATATTTTAAATGAAATATATAGTATCGAAATCCCAGACTAATTACCAGTATATTTTGTCATCAATTTTTACATAGAATCTGAAACTGGTTATCGAAAACTAAAAAAAAGTAGAGTTATAATGATTATTGCTGTTGATTTTAGATTGAGTAAACAATCACATCATAATAAATTCATGTACTAACTTTCAAGTTCATGCGACCACAGATTCATGGTTAACTAAAGTTATAACCTGATTTGGGACAGACACATAGACAAACACACAGATTGAAAGGCACAATGATCCTACTAAATGTTTCGTCGGTGTACAAAATTAACTATGTTGATGTTATTAATGTTAGTATTTCATTGTTTGTACAATTCCGACAAAGCTTCCCAATAGTAAATTTGATAATTTGACTTGTTGATCCCTAAATCTACAATTTTCATATGCTTATGATATAGTTAAGACTTGTTTATATCAACATGATCAACGTAATGTTTACACGTGAATATTTTTTTCTTATTTCTTCGTGCATTTTCAATAAAGCTACAAACGAGAACTGACATACCAGCTCCAGACTTCAATTAAACTGATTGAAAGATTATGTCTTCATCATATGAATATCAGGCACAATCCTTCCCGTTAGGGGTTTAGTATCATACCATCATAACATATATGAGATATATACTTTGACTGTTAATGGCCTATGCTGTAAGCATAACATGAACAGACATGTTGGACATAAATGTTGTTCAAATAAGCATAAAGGGTGATTATTGATGAATATCACTGTTGCATGTATGACCATTAGGAAAATATCACTTCTTCGACATTTCATTTGGGTAGAATATCCCTTTTTTTTACCTGTCATTGAAGAAAAACATCAATGCTTTGAACTCCCCTGAAGGTAGACTAACAAAACCATGCCTTTTCATTTTGGATGTACACCTCCGAGGCGCTAAAATTTATGGAATTAAACTTTTTTCTTAACCTGAATTTTGGGTTTATATGACTGTAAGAAAGTAAATATTGAAGAGAAAATCATATGATGTTGAACTTCCTTTTTGGCTATACGGTCATTTTTAAGTACCACATTTTTAATGATTTTCCCATTTTTCATCAATTTAAACCCAATTTTGTGCTATTATCATGAAAAAAATCACAGTTTCACAATTACACTTTTTTGTCATATTTTCACTGCAGATGAAGTGGACCAATTTCAATACATTTAACTTAAAAAAACTATAGGCTGATGTTAATATAAGAAAGTTTAATAAATTTTTGTGTCAAATTGACCATGCTATCAATTTTGTAAATTTGTGATTTTTCTCCTTTTTTTTTAAACAAAGAGCCAATCATCTCAACTTCTTTGTTATAAATGATTGATAACATACATATGTAAGAATTTTTAAAAGAAAAAAAATGATATTTGATGTACATAGTTTTGGTAAAATTATTTCTGGGCACCCCTCACCCATTTTCTCAACATTTTGGCTGATGACAGTGACCAGACTGGTTACAAAATGTGGAAATTTTATTACTCAAATACAATTTGCTGTTAGTACACATTTTTGTCACAGAGTTTCTTTGATTATGATATTTTTCAAATTCATTGATATTTTCCACTTGTATCACATGTTTCGGAAATAATTCTCGAACTAGATTTCAACGAGACTAAAACATCAGAAGAATACATCCTTAAGGTATTGATTATGTATGAACAACATGATACATCGATTTTACAATTAGTATTTGTTTCGTTGAAGTACTGTAACCCCTCACAATCTGTTTATAGCTACAAACGAGAATGTCATTGGCAGTGACTTAATTTGTTTTTTTTTATTTGGAGGCTCTTCTTTCACGGAATATTCGTCAATCATAGTAACTATGTCAATATGTCCCTTTTGTCTGGCAATCTCTATCGGTGACATACCATCTTTTTCTGATCCCTTCTCTAACAGTAATCGTACTATCTCTATATAATTATTCTGACAAGCAATATACATCAATACTTTTTTATAACTTCATCGTAAACAAATATTTCATTGGCTTTACAGTTGACAATATTGACAGTTCCTTTTTTCATTTATTTAACACAATGATCATATTCATTTGACTTTATTTGCATCTATTGTTAATATTGACAGTAATTATGAATCAATATGACACAATTTTATTAGCATAGCTATTACACTGACATAAAAAAATATATGACCCTGATAGATAAACAATTGTCTTTCGGTTGAAAATTGTAACTGGTTTTCATACAATATGAAAGTTTTTGACTACTCCATGTAGTAAGTGTTTTGGAAAACAGAGAAGAACAAACACTGAAACTTTACACTGTATTAACCATTAAATGTTTAATTTAAAGCTACTTTTTTAACATTCTTATAGGCAACTCTACAATTGAATCTAAATGAACTATGCTGACTTTTACCTTATCCTTTATTTTCTTTCATATATAACCTCCACTCCGGAATGTTCATTAATGACAGCAAGTATGCCATCGTTTCCATTTTCACTGGCAATTTGTTTCGGTGAGATACCAATATTGTGACATTTATTATAATCTGATCCCTTCTCCAACAGCATTCTTACAATATCTATATGATTATACTGACAAGCAATATACAAAGGAGATGATCCGTCATCCATACACTTATCAATGTTTGCCTTATTTTCCAGTAATACCTTAACCATATCAATATGATTATTCTGACAAGCGGTATACAAAGGGGATGCTCCATTATCTCTACACTTGTTAATGTCTGCCTTGTTGTCCAATAGTACTTTCGCTATCTCTATATGATTCTTGTTACAAGCAACATAAAAAGGAGATGCTCCATTATTTACACACTTATTAAAGTCTGCCTTGTTGTCCAGTAATGCATTTACAATCTCTTTATGATTATTCCTACAAGCAATATATAAAGGAGATGCTCTATCATCTGTACATTTATTTATGTCTGCCTTGTTATTCAGTAATAGTTTTACTGTCTCTTTATGATTATTCTGACAAGCAATAAACAAAGGAGATACTCGACCATCCATACACTTATTGATGTCTGCCTTGTTATCCAATAATAGTTTTACTGTCTCTATATATTTATTCTGACAAGCAATATACAAAGGAGATGTTCCAATATCTGTACACTTATCAATGTCTACCTGGTTGTCTAGTAATAACTTTACTGTCTCTATATGATTCTTATGACAAGCGTAAAACAAAGGAGACGCTCCATTATCCGTACACTTATTAATGTCTGCTTTGTTGTCTAATAACACCTTTACTATCTCGATATCATTCGTGGAACATGCAACAGTCAAAGGAGATACTCCTGAATCGCTACATTTATTAATGTCTGCTTTGTTGTCTAGTAGCACCTTTACTATCTCTACATGATTATTTCGACAAGCAACATTCAAAGGAGATTGTCCATTATCCAAGCACTTACTGATGTCTGCATTTTTGTCCAGTAATGCTTTAATTATCTCTATGTGATTTTTCTGAATAGAAATAAACAATGGAGATGCTCCATCATCTCTACACTTATTAATATCTGCATTGTTGTTCAGTAACACCTTTACTATTTCTATATGATTTTTCTGACAAGCAATAAACACAGGAGACGATCCATTATCTGTACACTTATTGATTTCTACCTTGTTGTCTAGTAAAAGCCTTACTATCTCTATTTGATTATTTTGACAAGCATTATACAAATGGGATATTCCATCATCTGGACACTTAACAATATCTGCCTTGTTGTCCAGTAACACTTTGACTATCTCTATGTGATTATTCTGACAAGCAATGAACAAAGGAGATACTCCATCATTTGCACACTTATTAATGTCTGCCTTTTTGTCCAGTAACACCTTCACTATCTCTATATGATTATTCTGACAAGCAATGAAGAAAGGAGATATTCCATTATCTGTACTCTGATTAATGTCTGCCTTGTTATCAAGTAAAATCTTTATTATCTCTATGTGATTATTGTCACAAGCAATAAACAAAGAAGATGTTCCCTTATCGGTACACTTATTTATATCTGCCTTGTTGTCCAGTAATATCTTTACTGTCTCTATATGATTATTCTGACAAGCAGTAAATAAAGGAGATGCTCCACCATCTCTACACTTATTAATATCTGCATTAGTGTCCAGTAATATCTTTACAGTCTTTATATGATTTTTCTGACAAGCGATGAACAAAGGAGATGTTCCTGTATCTGTACACTTATTTATATCTGCATTGTTATCCAGTAATAGCTTTATTGTCTTTATATGATTTTGCTGACAAGCAATATACAAAGGAGAACTCCCCCTATCTGTACACTTATTAATATCTGCCTTGTTGTCAAGTAGTAGCATTACTACTTCTGCATGACCACAATGTGATGATATATGCAATGGAGTCGCATTATCATTTCTACACTGGTTGATATCAGCACCAAGATAAATACACCACTGTATCAAGGGAATATCATCATACTGACAACACTGCAACAGTACAGTACCTTTGGAAGCAACATCACAGGTCAGTGCTAATTTTGTCTGGAATGAAATATCAAGTGTATTCAAATGATCAAGGAATCGCTTTCTGAACTCAGGGATCGTCATACTGATGTTATTAAACACATGCTGTACGCTACCGAAAGACCAGTCACCAATCATTTTCTTTATGTACATCTGATGGTATTTGGGTGGTACAATAGTGATAAACTGATCCATTTCAACTCTTCTTTCTAATGCAAATCTCTTCGAAATAAACAGACTGTGTCCATTCTTGATCATACATTGTATCATTTTTTTACCAAAATAGAAAGCTAAGAAATCAAATATTTTGTCGTGTATAAATTTGTATACCCCTTGCTCTGTCCTAATAAAGGTATATTCAAGTGTCTTAAGTTCATCTAGTAGAACAAGTCGTGATGTTTCTCTGTCAAGTCTACATGCCTCACATGTGTTCTCTATAATTGTTCTTATTCTTTTATTTATATCATCTGTTAACCATTGTTCCTTCAGTCTATTGTTGAACATGACACACAAAGCCAGAGCACAATATTTTCCATAATTTCCTTTTTTATTAAGCTTGTCAATTTCTGCATCATATACTGAAAATGGATTCATGAAAAATTCTGTTATATTGAGTTCATGACTATCACTATACAATTTACAGAGAAGTGGAAAGCATTCATATAAATCACAATACTGTATAATCTCCGTAGACTTTGTGTCCAGATATAATTCTGCTATTGATTGTTTCTCTGTTTTGGATAAACACAAATCTTCTGAAAGCATGTTGCAAACACATGTTCTAAAAACTGACAATGATTCAAACTTGTCATCCTGATACACTTGTAATCGACATGCCACAATGATTTTTGTGAGTTTATTTTCTATCAGTACTTTAATACGATCCATGACTGACTCCAGACTGTTAAGTTCAAACTGGTTTATGGAATAGATTCCACAAAAGTCATCTATAACAAACAATGTTTTTCTGTTTGGATTATAAAACTTTACAATATCATGTGCATCGGTTACCAAAAGCACATCATACTCTTTATCTTTCATTTTCAATGCCACATATTGTAGGGTTGCTGTTTTTCCAACACCGGAACTAGCAGTAATTGTTACACAACTGTTTTCCTGTATACATTTCAACACATATTTGGCAGCTCTGGTTTCCACAAAGTTTGATTTATTCATGTTCCATGCTTCCAAAATCTGACGGATTTGTTCTGAAATATATAAATATTAGCAAAAACTTGATGTTACTTATCTTCAGATTTATACTAGTATCAAGGACCCAATATGGTGGCGTCTGGTGACCTATATCATCTTACCAGTTCATATTTAATCATCATTCATTATACGCTGTATTCTTTACAAGTATGTTTATTTTAACACCATATATAGTTCTTACTCCTATGGTTGAACTAAAGATAAAGATTAAGACAAAGATGCTGCTCCCGCTGCATGCGTGAATATAATTCAACAAACATTAGAAATAGCAAACAGTAATGTTGAAGTTTGATGCATTTTACCCTTAGTATTCTATTTATCCATGGTGTCAGATTTGATATGTAGATTCATTAGATACACTTATTTAATTAATAATCAAATTATGTTGGCCTATCTTTGTTAGACCTGGCTTTTTAGTTTCAGAGGTAGTTTTTGATAATGTTAACGGATGGCAATGAAAGACAGATAAAGAACAACTACTTCTAAGTAAATTAGCTCATACTGGGTGTTCAAGTCAGATGAGTTGAAAGGCAAGCATAAATTTTTATCAGAATTTTGGTCAATTTTCATTAACAATTCCGTATTACTGTAATGTATAGTCCCTTTGTTGAATACAATAAATACTTTGTATATTTCGTGTGTTGGAAACATTTTCTGGATTTATGTTTGTCTTATGTACGTTTTGGCTAATTTATACATTTGAAATTCCATATTACTGTTAATGTATAGTTCTGTATGTAATTTTTGGTGTTTATATTTAATGTTCAATAATATTGAAATCTGGTCTACAGTGTTGGCTCTGTTTTAAATATTTGTCCTTACACTTGCTTCTGTAGGTCCTCGTGTTTTGTCTAAAGTTTTAGTCATTACCTCTTATGTTCCAGGGTACTGTTGACTGCTCCAAAACTCTTGTCCTTAACTCTTTACATTCACCAAACATATTTGTCCCACCTAGTGTTCCTACAGCCTGTAAGTATCCATTAAATCAAGTTATTCATTATTTAATTCATACATACTAATGCATATTGCTGATTAATATCAATGACACACAGAATATCGGCAGTGTTAATGCAGAAAGTACACTAAGGTTTCTTTTTGTTTTGATATATGCTGAAAGTAACATAAAACAATCTATCGATCTAAAAAAAAAACAATATATGTTTCTTGCTGCCAAACTGATCCTCTTTTTTAACACCCAATTTAAAATTGTTCAACGATAGAGAAATTTATTTCAAATCAATGTCCATTGGTAATCATATATTATAAAATAAGAGTTTCCTAAGAGCATCAGTTCCTCCTCTGGTAAAATATGGCATCTTAATATTCAGTTAACCTTTTTTAAATCAAAAATGTTTTATAAAGAAACATATTACTCATTAAAACTAAACAGCATTTTTTTTGGGAGGGCGACATTCAAGTTATGATTAACCACAACCTTTTTTGTGTTTAATAAATCATATTCAGGATGAGTTTATGTATTCTGAAATTAAATCTGAACATCACAGTACAATATTGTATTGTTAATGCAGCCTCTTAACTTTTTCTTTGTAAATTTACCTTTCAATGTCACATAACATGAAAAAGGACTGTCGCAAGAATCTTTTCTTGGACATAACTAGTTGCTAATCACTAAAGGACTTACATTATGTTCTTAATATTGAATACTTTTAATGTACTTATGTTTTTAAACTTTTTTTCTGTGTTATTATAGATTTAACAATATTTAACATTGCAACCTACAAAACTTTGAGTTCTTCCAAAAACTACAGGTTTTCTCACCCAGGAATATATTACCAAGCTGTATTTGGCAAAACCTTTCGGATATATTAACTTTGTTCTTTATTTGACTCTTTAACTATTTAAATAGAGCGTCATTGATGAGTCTGTTGTGGAAAAGGCACGCGTCTGGCGTACACAATTATAAGCTTGGGCTTTGATGAGTTTTCTTTTTATATAAACATTCCGTTTAAACTAACGTTAATTTTATTACGTTGTATTTGAAGTCTTCAAAAAGCTTATAATATTTTTGACCTGATGATCAATGTTGTAATGGTTCTTTAAAACTATTGTTAAGCGAAAGCTCAATTTCATCTTTCGCACTCTACTATCGGCCAATATCAGACGTTTTGTTATCGTTTACATTTATGGACCGATTGTAAAATTGTAATTTAATCAATCTGTCATGTTTAGTTTTTCACTATTTTAGATTGGTGATAGAGTAAAAGTCAGTACCTGATTGTTTATCTCTTTATAAACCCAATCACTGGTTTAAATTTACTTGATAAGGCCAGTAAACAATTTAAATCATTTTTTCCTTTAGTACAAAGATCTCAGTAATTTTCCATTGTTAAAGGAACATAACTTGAGATTCGGTGGAGATTAAAAAAAACTCATTATTTCAGAACAATAACTCATATTAGTTTGGTGGTTATTGTCATATTAACATTTTTGTAAATCTGGTATTGATGATCACGTTCGCTGTTTACAGTTTTTTACCTATCAATTATTGTTTTCGAAAATAAAAAAGTCAAAAATCTTCAATTCAGGACACTAAATCCTATGAGAAATCGTCAAATTGTTTTACTCACATAAGATGTTTTGTAGATGTTGTAACGCTGATTTTTTTTGCTGTTTAAGGAATCGTCTGAATGTAACCTTCATATTAGAAATTTGGTAATGTTGTTTTTCTTTTACAAAAAAGAAGAATTTTCGTTTGAATAGTTTTTGTCAAGCCCACTGGGGATGAACACATGTACACAAATAATGAATAACCATGTATTTTTTAAACACTGGTTCAATGAAGGTATATTTTTGTTAATGCTATTGTATCAGACGATGGAAAAATTCAGTTTGGAACAGTTGGATGCAAAGTTTAATATAAACAGAAATGTTATGAAATGTAACAGCGTAATTCTGCTGTAAATCACGCAGTAAAGTGACATGTACATGATGATTATCAACAAGCCACTCCATGCATTCCTTGATTTGCCAAGATTTCTTTTCTATTTTCAAGGGGAACCAAAGACCTGCGTCACTATTAACTGGAAATAATATAGTTTCAACGGGTCAGAAAAAAAATGAATGAAATTTAAGGTTCAGGTGAAATTCAATAGATACTAGCTTTCAAATTACCTTTTATAGCACCAAAAAATACCCAAACTGCAGCGGTTGCAAAATAGAATAAACCAGCACAAAAATTAATGTTATTGATAATCCAAAATGTACTTTTTGCCAAGAAGAAGCAGAAGCAGTTGAACATGCATTCCAGAAAATGTGGGATTGTACAAACAATCATTGATGAAATTGACTCTTGGTATTTATCTAAAGTATGGTATAAGTGTTCCATTTACTATGATTTTTTTTATGTTTGGTGATATTACAAAATAATTCAGGGGGATGCTGTTAATTGGATTTTTCTGCATAAAGAAAAAAACCCAGAAAGATTCTTAAAAAAGCTTTATATTGCAGTCAGTGCAAAGTAAATTAATTGTCTAGACAGCATTTAAAAACAATTTGCTGTTAAAAATAAACTGGAGGCTATGAAGAGCCTGTGTAGTTCACCTTGGTCTATGTGCATCTTCAACAGTGGACTCTTTCCAACATTGTGGACTAGTATAAAATTATGACAAAAATCTCATTTTTAGTTAATTTACATTGCTGATCATATGTTTCTGTTTTCAGTTTCTCTCTATCCTCTATAGTTGTTGCCCAAACCACAAAGAGAAAGGTATAAAAATTGTCATGCAAGGGCCTTTACTCCTACAAAGTGTCTATGAAGATTACGGCAAAATTTTACTTAATTGTAGATCTTGTCTTGCTGATTATTTTACAACAATTCAAAGTGTCTATCTTTTATAGTTAACACGATAATAGACATAGACGCAAACAATTGACAAAAATAGTTATCAAAGAGATATGATTCCATTAAGGAGTGGTTTGACGATTTCGACAATGTTGCCTTATTTGTAGATCTTGTCTTGCTGACCATTTTTGCTTTTAAGTTTCTTTCTTTCTGTATAGGTTTTCAGATATTAACAAAAACACCAAAAACAAAGGATAATAAACATCATTCAAGGGCAACTACCCCAATAACGAGTATTTTGACGATTTCTGCTATGTTGCCTTATTTGAAGACCTTGTTTTTTTTATCACTACTGCTCTTTAAGTTTCCATCTGTCTGTTATAGTTTTTCAGATATTAGGCAAAACGCAAAAAATTGATATCATCATTAAAGGGCAATAACCCCAAAAACGAGTTGTCTGACTATTTCGACAAAGTTGCCTAAATGTATATCTTGTCTTGCTGAAAAGGTCTGCTAATTTTAGTTTCTCTCTTTCTCTCTCTCTCTCTCTCTCTCTATTATAATTTATAAGATAAAAGGCAAAAATGAAAAAAAATATGCCAAAATCGTCATTCAAGGGCAATAACTCCTAGAAGAAGTCGTCTGAAAGTTTTGATGTAAATAAACAATAGGTAGATATCCTCATTCTGAACATATCTGCCTTGTCAGATTTTCTCTAATGATAGTGATTTTCAACTTAATAGACAAAAATTGCATTTTACCATTATGTTCTATTTCTAGCCATTTTGGTTGGCAAGCGGGGTCTTCAGCACGAATACAAAACCAAAACTTTTAACAAAAAAAAGTCTTTGATTACTTAATAATCTACAGACAAAATTAAAATATTTATATTCTACCACTAAAACTACACAACCTCTTTATATTTGATAACCTATGCGTCTGTACTATTAGATAATAATGTTAGATAATCTTAATGGTTAGTTTCAAAATGGATATTTCTAATATAATGTAAAAAAAAATAAATATGCTATATTGTATGAATATTACTGACAACTGGTTTTAAGATTTTTCATGATACGTCACGAACAACAGTGGCTATCATTTGTTCATGTCTGTCATATTTGTTTTTCGTACGTAAACTATTTTGTTGTAAAGCAGGCCGTTAGTTTTCACGTTTAGATTGTTTCTCATTTTTCATGTCAGGACCTTATACTGCTGACTTTACTGTATGGGTTTTTCTCATTGTTGACGGCCATACGGTGGCCTATATTTGCCACTACATAAAAAACAAAACTGTCAGGGCTTTTTTTTTACCCCAAAAGGCCATAGCATCACAAATAAATGACATACAGTGACTTTTATTTTATTAAATAAAGGCATACAAATATACTGCAATATCATCCCAAGTTATGATAAAAAATAAATTGTCATTCTTTTTAGATTTACATACCCTAGTAATATCATCCCAAGCCTTGGTGAAATAAAAACTATTCATTTTCGCCTCCTGGATATGTGCAATGTAGTTTCTGTAATATTTTATGGTCGCTAAGGCTGCAGATGGTGTTGCATCAGTTACTGATGGCAAGTTGTCGAATCCATTGTCTGGAGGATTTAAGTCTATTAAATTTCTAAACAGTGTAATTATAAGCGTGACATCAAAGGTTTTAGAATCCGGAACACCTAAAATAGATTTTTCAAGAGTTCAAAATTTCAGAAATAAATGAACCTTCAGAGAGAAAGCTCACAAACCCACACCCAGAATTCAAGTACAAGAGCTTATACTGACCTGCTGCCATATATTTACTTTACTTTTATGATATGATTCTATCTCAGCGAGAACTTTTGATATAGAATATTTTCTATAATTCTACTCCTTCCCAAACAAAATGGACCACATTTAAGTTTTTTTTTTTTTATTATAAAATTCATTGAGGTTTTGATGAGTGGAAGCCTCTATCCACATGAGGGTGTGCAGTAAGGGTGTGTTTGGCATATAAAACTAAATTACTACACAATGAGTTGTTTTTTATGCAAAGATGTGAAAAGATAGAAGAAACTGATTTATCTCTAAAAACAAATGCCATTCTTGATAATGATAAGCACATTTTCAGTTAAAATGTACCTAAACATGTTGAATGTTTATCAATGTCAGTAGTTCACTAAACTAGTATAAATTTTAGATTGCAATGTTTATATTTTCATGAATTCAAAAGCACAGTTTTTCGAATGAGAGTATTTTTTTCAAACAAAACAAATTGCCAAATAAGTATTCTTCGGTCAAACATGCACCTGGAATGTCAAATAGCACATTGGACATATATACGATGACCTTTAGTTTAATAATTTTACATAATGCTGTGCCAACTGTATTTCGAAAAAATATATCAACCAAATTCAACACGTATGTTGTCAAAGGCATATTAATGCTACCATTTTCAAAGAATGTTTGTCGGAATCAGTCTTTTGATGCATGATTTCCCCTTTTCTGTACCAAATATCTGTATCTATGTTCACAATTCGTTTTAATTAAACAAAATTTAACTTGTTTAATCAGTGAAGAATGCGGAATACTTGTGTAAGGGTAGAGAATTAAAATGTTCTTATGCTATTAAATAAAGAGTGGAACATATATGTTGAATACTCTTACCGATCTTTTGAAATCATTGATATATACATCTGATTCCTAACAACTGTCAGAGTTCGCAGTATCCATTTTTTTTACCTTTCAGCATCGAAATAATCTTATATCCAAACCAATTAGGGTATTTTAATAAGGACTATAAAAACATTGTCGGGTTAATCCCTTAGTATTTTTGAATATAGTTTATATTTTTACCATTTATCCCGACACCGCTACGGTTTTATGGACTGTAATTATCTAAAAAAACAATTTCTTAACTTAGGAAAGAACTAAATGTCTATATGTTATTCATATTACATATTATAAACCGCAAGTTTATAAAAATAAAATCAATATAACGTTCAAATTACGAGAAAAAAATATGTCACTGGAATTGATTGGCTGATTACAAATTTGCGTAAAAGGTTATCTGAACATAGACCATGAGTTGATGTTTTTCAGATCTTACATAAGTGACAAGCAAACATAAGTGAGGAAAGTGGAAGATCTCATTTGAATTGACTACAAAACTGAGTAAAAAATTGAAGTGTTACAGATATACCTTTTATCAGATTAAGTATATTCCTACCTTTTCGTGGAAACAACAGGTTCCATTGGGAAGTGTTGATTTTCTTGTCCTTTTTCAGCTGATTCAATTTTGAAAACTCCCTTTTAATAGATTTATACAAGCATGATGGGGCAAATTCACTGTCGAAATATGCTCTTGCTGCACGTGGAGCGATCCCGTACAACAACAAACTCATCCTCACATAGTTTTCCTCTTCTTCTGTAATTGTTGACATTTTTATGTCAATGTGTGTTTACCAGGACAAACATTACTCACTCAGTTTCATAATTGACTCCGTGTTATCTGTTAATTAAATAAACACAAACAATCAGCTTAAATCATAAAATTAACACCGAAAGTGCTGAATGAATGAATGATCTTTATTCCCATAAACCAAATACATAGCTACAAAGAAGAAATATTACAATAATAACACATATTGGATATAGCATTTTTGTGAAATACAAGTTATTGTTAATTAATATTATAAATATATATTTGGACAAAAGATAAATACATATACAATAGTTGTTTTAACCAGGAGGATAGACTTTCACAGAAATACATTAAATAAATATACAGAGTTTCTCAAGTTCAACACAATGTGGATTTGAGTATACTTGTTTAAATTTTATAACATTTACATTAGATTTACAATATTGCGGTAAATATTTGTTTCTATCGGCTTTGAAAAAATTACAAGACATAATATAATGGTATTCGTCACCGATGTCAACTGAGTCGCAAAGGTGACACAATCTATCAGATCTCGGTATGTTGTGCCTCTTTCCCGTCTCAATTGGCAAACGGTGATTCTCACATCTAAATTTACATAAGGTTATTAATAAATTGAATGGTAGCACTGACAAATAGTGTTCAAATTTAAAAACATTTTCATACAATCTATAACATAAACCCTTTGGCGAATTGTTCATTTCTGATGACTATTCTTGAGTGAACTGGTCTCTTAATCTTTGCCGAACACTTAATACAACCAAACGTTTCTGAAATACATTATGACTTTGACATACATTTGACATTCCACAGTCATTAAAAATTTTCTTTATATAAGGTAACCATTTAGATAATTATTGAGAATAAAATAAAACAGATTAGATAATAAACATGATATTTTTCTCTCTTTTCCTTCTTGTAAGCGACACCAGAAACTAATCATACGTGACTTGACGGTAACTGAAATAGGGTATCTACCCAGCTCACCATAAATCATTAAATTTGGGGTTGAATTTTTTAGACGTAATATATGCTTGCAAAACGCAAATGAACTCTCTCAAGAATATCTAAATTTTCGAATCCCCATATTTCGCACCCATATGTTAATAAAGGAATAATAGCCTTATCAAACATATCTAGTTGGCACTCGATGGACAAATTATTAAGTCTGGATTTTTTTATTACAGCATACATTGCTTTAATCGCCAAGTCACGTCGATATTTTCTGGTAGAAAGAAATGCGCCACTTCTAGAAAATATAATACCAAGATATTTATAGCTACTGACTATCTCAATCTCATTTTCATCTATATTAGATATCAAGTTTCGAGGTATTCTACCTCTTGAAAATACCATAATTTTCGGTTCATTGATGTTAATTTTTAGTTTCCACTCTTTACAATACTCTGAAAATTTATCCAATATACATTGTAAGTCATGGCTAGATTCCACAAGTAGTATTGTATCATCTGCATACAATATTAGAAAAATTTGAAAATATAAATATAGTTCGTTCTCAATATCAAGTGTAACAGACTGAATTCCATCAATATTAGAATTTTCTAAAAATTCTTGTAGATCATTTAGATAAAGTGAAGAAGGCAGAGGAGAAAGATATTCTTGGACCAAGTAAATTCACCATTTCAGTCATCTCCGGTTTCCGCGCGTTGTCTTACGGTCAACATTTAGGTTGTTTTCACAACCCGCACGATGATTTTGTGAGATATGCAAAAGGTACATATTCAAACGATGAATGTTGATTTTTCTTAAACTTTTAAATATTTTTAAAGTATAAATACGTTTTACTGCAACTTAAAAAAAATGTGAATGATTACACTGTTACAGGTTTATGTTGACATGATAGCCTCATCATATCTAGTGATTCTGTATTATGAATATACTATTTGATTCATGTTTATATATAAAACCAAGCTATGGTAACGGAAAAAAGAGAGTAAGCACAAATCTTATGTTAAGGGGACGATCATTCAGTTTACATTTAGTGACAGGACTATGAATTTTGGGAAATAGTTAAGCATGAAAAATTCATGCATCATTGTCTGAAATTGGCGTCCTGAAATTAAAATTTCCATTTGAAGTGTAAATAAACCCCATTGATTGAAAATAAATCCTCCATTTCAAACATTTTCGAAAAATAATAAATGTCAAAATAGATAAACGATTCAACTAAATTTACGCGTAACTTAGGGGAAAACATAAGGTTGTTTTACGAGAGAAATGGCACTGAACTAAAATAATGACAAATAGTGTCAGGCCAAGCCAGTCGACACGGTGTTTGTTTGGTGCGGTTGACATCTGACCTAATAGAATATCCAACTTGATTGTTGTGGTCCGTCAATTACTAACTTCAAACCAACCGAACAGTTACATCTAAAGGTAATCTAGAGGTCTAGAAGACTCAAATGAGTTTACTGATCAAAGTCCAGGGTAGTCTTATAACATATGATCTGGGTTGCGATATTTGTTTCTTAAATTTGTCTTCTGATATTTTTCTGTTTACCTTTTTTGCTATTTCTTATTTTATATTACATATTTGCTCTTTTTGCTATCAATGTGCCGCCCCAAAGAAGTTTTAAAAAAATTATTGTATTTTGTAAATGATAACAAACCATTTACCTTTAACTGTACGCATACACATAATTGATATATTTGAATTTCAAAACTGAACTAAATTTTCAATAATTCAATGTTAATCAAAACACAACCCCTGTAGTATATGTTTCGAGTTATTTGTTTTTTAGGCATTGAGAAGCCTTTCGTGACCCCATGCGATTTAATTTCCTTTGTGAAAATAATTTAATAAGTTGGCATAACGGATGAACGTTTACCTGATCTGATCCAGCCAAAAGATGGCCATGTCCACGCTGTTATGGCTTTGATGATAATACTTGTCAAAACAAAATTTCAGCAGAAATAAAATAATGTAAATCCCTGTTTGTGGTATGGAGACAGCAACTGAAGCACATAGAAAAACCAGCAAAAACATGTCTAATTATCAACAATTTATATTAAACTAGTTTAAATATTACGCGAAATTCAATCGAGAACAAAAATTCAATAAGTTTATTTGACACTTGACATTTAAAGGTTGTATGACTTCAATAAACATGTGTGCAACCCTGTCCATTTTCTCACCAATATGACAAGCTCTCAATTGTTAAAACTTGTGAACAAATTTAACAAAGACTACAAGAGATCACCCATCAACACTAAATCTTGTAATGCGATTTTAGAAAACACTTCTATATCATCAAAATTCCACGTACACCTTCTGAATCCTAGCAAGCATATTTAAAATCATCAACAATAAGAATTGATACTGAGAATATAAAAACAAGAAAGGCCCTAACAGAGCAGACATTTACTTGATATTGTGTTCAGGTTTTTGAATTATCTGTAATGATAAATTCAAGTCATTGCAAGATATAATCATCAACACAAAATGCATGGATGGACATGTGGACAAACAGCTAATGTTCAGGATTTGGTGAATAAATTTATTATCGCGATTGTTAAACAATAGAAATTTTTAAATCAATTATAACGATTTCGTGAAATTCTACAAGCATTACTTGCAAGATTAGGCGTTACTTTTTAAACAATCAGTCATCAGCAAACAATTTATTATCGATCAGTCAAGTTCATGTGAAGTTTTTAAGTTATTATTAATCGCACACATATTAAAAGGAACACATATTGGCATTTTTAAACAGTGCAAACAAAATTCTTTTTTATTGTTCATTTATAATGACAATATTTATGAAATACAACCAATCCTAATGAATAAAAATTACTAATACCAAATGATTGTTCATGATTTTCATTAAAATAAAGAAATAAGTGCACCTTCATTCAGCACAAAAAAGTTTAAGTACCTTTACTCTTATATTAATAACATTTGATCGAAGCGCTCATCTAGCAGCACTTAAATTATTCCCCAAAAAGAAGAAATATGGGCATTCTTAAACAATGGAAAACAATAGTATCTTAATTTGCTCTTTGGTTGTAATTTTTGTTTGCATTTCTATAGATTGTAAAAAATGAGATACGGAGGAAACTGATTTTAAATAATAATATTTTTGAGCGTTTAGTTGATGCAGAAAGCATTTTGATGCTGCCGTTATGTTACACATTTATCTGAAAATAACAAAAACAATTATGAAAATAGTTAGATAATGCGTGAAACGTAGTTTATATATTTTTTTCATATAGTATTGCGACCAAGTTCAATCGTATTGTCGGTAAAGGTTTATCCGTCGAGGTCCGCGTTTATGGCGATAACGTATTGCAGAGTTCGTTTTATATAAGAAGTTTATTTATATGTGTATTAGTTTGATTCGTGCATAAAATAAATTTATTAATCAATCTCTGGCGGGTTTAAGGGTAATTTTCACATAATATCCCCTAGACAAGTCAAATACGCTACATTTCATCGATTACCGATCAGTCAAGTTCACTTCAAACCGTAATGCATAAATTACTAAACAAATAATGTCATCAAAATATAAATTTGGATATTTTGCAAACAGTATCTAGTAGCCATAATAACATAAAAAAAAGTATAGGGGTGGTCGTTTTGAAGTACAAAGAGACAGATAGACACATGAATATATATATATATAAATATATGCTAGTCACAAATGAAAACCCTCATTTATTTAGTGGGTATAAATGTAAATGATAATATGATTTTTTTTTCTTGATATATTTTGAAATTCAATATTAAAAAGCATGAAGTGTGATGTGATGATTTTCAGTGACTCAATGGGTACGGAACTTATTACATAATTAAGGGATTTTTTAAAAACTGCAAAAAGAGTATCTAGTCGCAAATTTTAGAAATATAAGAACAACAAAAGTCTTATATTGGTTATTGTTAATATTCGTTTTCTTTGTACAACGCATTAGTGTTTAGAAAAAACCTTTTTATGTTTTAGTTTGTATGAAACAGATCACAGAATGAAATAAAGTTAAACAATATCAAAATAACAAGTTTGGTTCTGTTCTACGTATAGACCCACATATTAAGGTCCGGTCAGAACGAACAAAGAAGAAAAATTTTCGTATTTTAAAGACAATAGTTTCTACGTTTAGCTGTCACTATGTAAATATGAAAAATATTGGGTAATTTTGGTATCAGATGAAAGATCACGGACTTGGAATAACACTTGAAGTCTTATTGGAAAAACATTTCTTTGAATAATACTAAAAACCTTAAAAAGAAAATAATCAGACCAAACAGGTATAAATGCTTGAAATTGCAGAAATTCAACATAAAAATCAATGGGGCTATGAATTACTGGTTGTATTCCTGAATTGCAAAACAACACGACATAGAGGTTTTATTTCAATGTTCCAACGTAACGTTATCAGGGTCAATCTTGACATAATATAAGGTAAACGTAGTGTACCGATGTTCAAATCTCGAAAAATCGATTAGAAATAGTCAATCTAGTATATAAATCATATTAAATGTCATAAAAATATGCCATAGCTAAACAGAACAAATATTGGACATACTAAATTTACAACAGTGTGTTTTTAATTAGATTTTAGAAATCAAAATAATCCTCCCCAAAACGAAGGAAAATTTCACAGACACACAGGCAATCATAAATTGTGACACACGTGTACAACAATGGGTCAAAGGGGAACGTGATTAATGCGTTACTTTTTTTTTCGAATTTCAAAAGAACCTTTCTGTAATATTAATGGTAACGATCAGGGGAAAAACTATTTTACTAGTATATCTTTTCATTGCTAGAATGATAAACACTTAACACTTATCAGAACACAAACACCACTTCTCATATTTAAGAGGTGATTATTAAAAACGCTGCTCGAGTACCACGATCTCTGCAGGAAAATAACTCTTGCCAAAATATTGAGCCTATCCAAGATATCCTCATTTTCCGGTTGCAGTCGAAATTGTTTATCCTGTATCCCGGTCGATCCGTTCCTTGCAGAACATATTGTTGTGTTTATTGTCAACCTGCTCATGTACTGAACATGCATAGAATGTGTGTCCCTGAATACTAAACAAATAACTATCTAGCAATTAATCAATCAATCTGAGTTCTTTTATATCAAATAATTATCAATACATAAAAGGGGACAACCTTAAAACTCCTGTCACATGTGAAATCCCAATGTTGCCTAGTCGTAACTAGGACTATGTACTTGAATTCAAGAAAGCGGTCAACTTGAATTCTATTGTCATACAATGTTAAACGCTTCAAAATTTGAAAAAGTCAGAAGAACAATATCTGTTTTAATAATTATATAGACATTTGAAAGTCGTCTTGAGTTTACTTTACTACTTTATTATAATATTTACAAAAACATCTAATGGTCTACAATCTATATTACCGAAAATTTCATAAATATCAAGACCCATTTATTGGAAGTTATTTTTCTTCTGAAATTTGATATTCTATCGAAAATATATATGATGTTTCTTGTTGTACCTAAAACAGACTTAATTATTTCCGAATTTCAGTCATATAGGTCAGAAAGAAAATGAATGATTAAGAAATAATTCCTTCATGCCATGCTCTATGCTCATTTATAGCTTGGGTAGGCATTATATATGTCGATATGTTACACTGAGAGTTTACAAGGTGTAAAATATGGTCGGCTGTTGTCTGCTCTTTGGTCGGGTTGTTGTCTCTTTGACATATTCCCCATTTCCATTTTCAATTTTATTATCACATATAATACCTACCCATGTCGAAATGAGCATAGATCATGACACGCAGAAATTAGTTCGATTATAATAGGACCATTACGGTATTTATTTTGGAAATACCTCAGGAATGTTTGGTTGTTCCCGTTTCCTCCGCATGAATAAAGTACATTACATTTTCATATTTCATACATTTAAAATAAAAAAAAACAGTAAATATATGACGTTTTAATAACAATATATAATGAAATATTGTATCAGCAGCTAAAATATATTTATCTATTTTGAAAAAATGAAAATAAAGAGAATGTAAACAGTAGTTTTGTGCGCATATGTCAACCATATTATTTTTCTTATTAGAACACGACTCTTGTTTACAAAGCGAAATAAGGACGTCATATTAGAATAAAACAATTGTTTACCTCCGTCATGTGAATAAATAAAGGCAACAGTAGTATACCGGTGTTCAAAGGTCATAAATCGATTGAGATAAAGTATCCGGGTTAAAACCTAAAACCGAGGGAAACACATCAGCTATAAGAGGATAACAAAGGAGTAACAAAAACACTGAAGTGTAATAAAAACAAACTCTAACATACATAGAAACGAACTATTTGATAGCAACTGCCATATTTATGACTTGGTACAGGACATTTTAAGATACAAATGGTGGGTTGAACCTGGTTTTATTGCTAGCTAAACATCCCTCTTATTTGGGAATATTATAAGATATTGCTAAAATGACAACACTACGTGACAGAAATACAGATGATGGGAGTTTTTAACGACCTTGACTGGCTATACAGCCCTCGCACTGTCGGTAGAAATACAGTACAAACAAACTGAAAAATAGTCATCACAGAGAAAAGCACAAACAAACAGCAGAATAACAACGAACATCTTGACGACAGACAAGACAAACAATGAATTATTTTTGTAACGAATATGTAATCTTGAAATTCATACAATCATTTTTACAATACTAATCCAAACAATTATCATGATAATGACAGTATTGAAAGGGTATTTCAAATAAATGTTGTGACGACGGCATAATTATTGAGACTAATAAAATACTTTATCCATGGAAATTAAGTCGACTATACTGACAAATACGACATAATTTTATGTGATATAAAGCTGTCAAATTACCAAAGATTCTTATTTCAACAGCCACGTAATTTTGAAAGGAGTTGGGTATAATATTCCATCCTGATCCTCCATTTATTTAATAATAATTTATATTATAATGTATTTCAGCAGAACATGACTTAAATCAAGAGGCCCCACAATATTCTTCAAAAAGAGATTAATTTATAGTTTCATTGAATAAAATTCGAAATGCTAATGCCAAAGCCCCTTTTATTTTTATTTTGCATTTGCTTTATCTATAATTGTTTTTACGAAAAAACGTAGTTTATTCATAATTTGTCATACTAGTCATATCTAAATGCAAAAACAAACATATACGTTGATAAAGAACACTGTTTTTGTTAGAATATGATATCTAATGTTGACTTTATCATTTGATCTATTAAAGTTTAAAGGTCATTTAAAAACCTCATAAGATTTTTTCAATTCATTGAAACTAAATTGTATTGCGAGTGTACGTAAGGTCAGACTTCAATGCATTCTGTCATTAAATGACAAGTTGTTGTTTTTGCATCATTAGCAACCGAAGTAACTGACTTTTTGCAAATAAAAATATTCACACATATTGATGCATATACATACAAGTCCAAAAGTTCAATAAACAGGGATAAAGTCACACTATATGTGACCAGAATGGTTAAACTGGATAAAAGAGGGTTCAAATGTTGGTTTTTGACTCGGTTTGTTATACTGTCCAATATATTTGGGATTTTGTTTTTATTCCTTTAATTTATTCGAATAATAGTGTCACTTCCTAAGGTTAATCAGAGCAACGTTAGTAGCATATTTTGTCGAAACATCAGTGTACGTTCGACAACAATTACTAATCGGTAATCATTTCAAAAGAGAATAAATGGGACGTATATGATAATTGTTCATCGTATTTGGTTTTTCTTAAACCAATAAGTTTCGATATGAAGTATGAAAAAACCACTTCATAATAGACAGAATACGAGAACGGTGGAGACGGATTCATGCTGCAAATCATAGTTGTTCATAAATCAATTAGGCTTTAATTACATAGACTGCAAGAAACGAATAATGTGACGACTTATATACTAATGACATTGAAATGAAAAGATATCCAACAACAACGCATCATTTCAGACTTAATTCTGTAAGAGACATTGCCTTTACGCGTAAACATTCTAAACATCTATATATAATTCACAATAGTTTAAGTTTCGGAATCTCTGAAAAGTAAGTTGTAACATTTATCTCTTTTTTTATATTTTGATACTGCAGTTTCAAGTCTACAATACATAAAAATGCAATAGACCTCATTTTATCATCAAGTATTTACTGCAAAAAAGGTGTTGAAATATCTTTAAATGCTCACTTGTTTTAGTAATGATTTTACTGATCTGTATTTATCAAGTGTGGTTATTGCAGTATTTTTAATGAGTTTATCATTACACCGTTATATTCGTTATATATTGACAATATCCCCAATCTACGTTCAATAATGCAAAAATGTAGAATAATTAACATGTAGCCAAGATTTCCGCTCACACTGGTGCTATAGAAGGGTTTAGAAATCTTTGAGAGCCTCACATTACATTTGAGCTGAAAAACTACAAAATGAAAGTGTTGTAATGTTTGTGTAAAGTGCGTGTTTGTATCTATAAATGCAGACAACCTATCGTTTCTATTCAATTAAATGAATGATCGCAATAAAATAGTTTTATAGGTTTTATTTATCGTTTTAATATATAGGAATATGAAAAGAGACCTTACCTTTTAAATCTTTATCGTCGGAACTGATACAAATTTGCACCTATACAAATGTATATAACTAATTAAATACATTGACAAAAAATACTGGAGCTGCATGTAGAATGTTTAAAATCCACAATTATTTAACAAAGATTATATATTTTTATTGATTATATTTTAAAGGTCAACATAAAACGCAGTTGGCATGATATGAAGAAATGTAATGTATTATTATTTATCATTGTATTGCTGTGCCATGTATGGGAAGTTTAAAAATATCTATTTATGACATATGAATAGGCTTCATTTCTTTCAAATACTGTAAATTCAGAAATTATCGCGTGCATTTATTATTGCGATTTTGTCATTTTAGACAAAAATGCGATTATATTTTTTGCGATATTGAGAAAAATCTTGTTTAATTCATTTAAAAATTTTCAAAATGCGAGTTTAAATTATTGCGATTATAACCTTGTCGCATTTATCGCAATAATAAAAACATCGCAATAATTTCTGAATTTACAGTAATTGATTTGAATTTTTAAGTATGTATTTAACACATTATTGTGACGAAAACATTGGGTTTTAGATATGATATAATCGCAAAATTGTCCTACTTATATTGCTGCCTGGAGCAAAAAAGTGGTTATTGGTAATTGTGCCCGATTCAAAATGAAGTGACTTCGTTGCGCCCTAAAGGACAATGGCGAGCAATGACGGTTATTTTACTGAAAATTATGAGAATCTGCTACAATGGCCACTAGTAACAATGAACAACCAACTATTATCTGCAGAACTTAATTATGTGATAAATAGACTATAACATGTCTTTTCAATATTGGCTCTGATATCATCCCTCGGCTAAAGCCTCGGGCTAATATGGGAGTCTCGGGATGATACCAGGGCCAATATTGAAAAGAGAATGTTATTATCTATAAATATACAAGATGTTTGTATGCATAATGACATATTGATAATTATATATTTGTATTCGCACATTCATAATTATCTAAGTGTTTAAACTTGTATTATATTCGAATTCCTCATATGAATGCTGAGGACCTATAAGTATTTCATCTTTTGTTATTTGAACGTCATCTAACTCCTAAAATACCTGTATTAAATAAAGGAAACAGTAGTATACCGCTGTTCAATAGTCATAAATCGATTAAGCGAAAACAAATACGGGTTACAAAATAAAACCGAGGAAAACACATCAACTATTAAAGGAAAACAACAGAACAATAGGAACACTTAACTTCAACAAAAACAAACGCCAACATACATAGAAACGAACTATTTGACAACAACTGCCATATTCCTGACTTGGTACAGGACATTTGTAGAAAAAAATGGTGAGTGAACCTGGTTTTATGGCTAGCCAAACCTCCCGCTTATATGGCAATGTTAAAAAATATCACTAAAATGACAACACTACGTGCCAGGAATACAGTACAAACAAACGCAAGAACACTCAAAACAGAGAAATACACTATTAAATAATATAATAATACAAAAGGTACCAAAACCTTGTTGATAAATATTCCGTATCAAATTCACAAATAAAACACGATGGTCTTGAAGTAAATATTGAACTATTTATGCCATTTTCACCTATTATGTCTGTTTGTTTTATTTACACATCGTTTTCAATATGATGGAATTTTAGGCAACTGTCATACAAGAGAAAGGTTTAGCTAGCTATAAAACCAGGTTTTATCCACCATTTCTACATAAAAAAAATGTCTGTACCATGTCAGGAATATGACAGTTGTTATCCATTCGTTTGATGTTTTTGAGATTTTGATTTTGCCATATGATTAGGGGATTGTCCGTTTTGAATTTTCCTCGGAGCTTGGTATTTTTGTTATTTTACTTTTTACAACATGGGAACCGCAGAATAACAACGGACACCTCCCATGAATTAACAACAGAACACCAAGACACCACAAAAAAAGTATATAAACTGCGCGTCACATGGATGGATTAATGCAATAAAAAGTGACGTATGTTTTGTGACGTTTATATTATCTCAGGTAAATTTCATAAAATAAAATAGATTATTTTATTCATAGACACGTCCAAAAATATACATTAAAATTGAGTTTGTAATGATGTCATTTTATGTATTTTCTTACCGTGAGAAGAATATAAAAATGGAATTATGTTTGTAATGGTGTTATTATTTGTATTTTCTTACCAGTTGTCAAATGGTTGTAATAATTTTTACGCAGGAAGGTTAATGCAGTTTCAAAAAATTTGGCAAAGATTTTCGGTGTTTGCATCGCAATCTAAATCTGACGTCATTTTCTTAACTATTCGACACGTGATTGGCTAGAGCGTTTCGTCGACGTCAATTTTGAACTTGTCACGAACAGTATGATAGAAGTTACTGTCATCAGTCCAACAAAAACACGTTAATATAGAAGCTAGTGTGTTGCTTATATTTTGAGGTAAGTTTGTTTTAAATTATTTTAGCCCTCTACTGCCGAGCACCGTCATTATTCATTTCATTCACGATTGAGTATGAATGAAGCTATAGTCTGTAGAGAAAGTCGCATTGTTTACTTAAAAATTGGGTTATTCATTACACGTTTCGCTGTCAACATGACGAGGGCAGTCTGTATACTGTATTAAAAGACAAACTTCCTATGAATGATTTATGCACGTTAGCACTATTTTACTCGCTTATAAACAATCATATCCTCATTGACCATTGACTAAATTACTTTATGTTGACATTTTGCAGACTGACCTGCAATGCACAGATGCGGGTCTAATATTTTTAAATATCACTACAAACCAGTAAAAGTCTGAAATGGCCTATATCTGTACTCGACTGTACTGATTTTTACTCGACCAGTCTGAATTGGTCTGAATTTAACTCGACATTACTCGACCCCAGTCTTAACCATACTCGACCGTACTGATTTGTACTTGACCCTTATCTTTGCCATTGAAAATAGTCTGAACTATTACTCGACCAGTCTGAAACAGTCTTAACCCATTCGCGACCTGTTCTCGACCAATTTTTTCAGTCTAAACCATACTCGACCAAAGGTCTGAACAATACTCGACCAGTCTGAACCATACTTGACCAAAAAACCTATACTTTTTTTTAATTTAGCTGTTAAAATTAATTTCTTTTTTTTCTGACATGACAACAGCCACAATAAAATAAAGATATGTATAAAAACATATTTTAACATCCTTACATGAATCTCAGGTTTATCAAATAGAGATAGTTAAATTAAATTATCTTATATAATAATTTAATTATATTAAATTTAAAGTTTTAGAGTTTTGTTAAAAAAAAGATTTTCTTTTAACTAAAAACTACACCTTTACTGAGGGTAATACAACCTTATTAAGGGGCTTCTTGTTTGGCATGTGTTTTTTTTTTTTTTTTAAACTTAATTTTCCTAAATTCCTAAAGAAAAACTATATAGGTTTCCTGGTTACATACAATAGTTATATAATTATCTTTTTAATGAGGTAACAACAGCCAAAAAATCACTGAAATTGTTTAACCTTGTATTAGAAAGATATCTATTCTTATTATAATAGGGGATATATTATTTAATATATATCAAAAAGGAATAAAAAAATTAAAGAAATAGATAAAATTTTTCTTCTGATTAGTGGTAAAGTATAAAGTAATACCTCCTGCTTGGGGCAAACTCATTAAAAAGATCACACCTGGTCAGAGAGTATTAATTTCTAATTAACATTCATTAAAAATTGCAACATCCTGTAAAACTTAAATCGCAAGGCCTTTTGAATTCACTAGATAAGTAATACACGAGTTTAAGAAAAAAAGGGCTTTCTTTTTACCTGTAAAACACACATGTACTGAGGTAAATAAACCTTATTAAAGTGCTTCTTGTCATGTCTTTAATTTTGACAAAAGTTATTTAAATTTAATTGAAATGATTTTTTTCTGCAACTTTGGAACACATTTCCATTGTTTAATGGTTATCAAGGATTGCTATGGAAGTTCTATTAGCATGATTATATTAAATTCTTGGTTTTACAAAACAAAGGTGTGATTTTTAAAATATATTAAGTTGCTTTATATACTATTTTAAATATACTTTAATAAAAAAAAATGTTCACTGTATTATTAACTGAACTCCCACCATAAATCTATACAAGGCTTAAGTAAATGGTGAAAATTGTCCAGTAATCATAAAATATATCTGAAACATTCAAAAAAATTTGAATAACATTGAAAATATTAGTCACAATTCAGTTTTGAGATTATTTGATCAACTTGTTTTATTTTTATTTTAAAGGTGATATATATATGTAAGTGTTGATAAATATGGTGTTGAATTTATATTATGTTTATTGTGAAATTTTGGTTTCAATGCCATATTGAATACATTTTAAATTTCAAATTGTTCTAGCCAGGGGAAACAGTTCCTAAATTGATGAAATACAATAGAAAAATACAAAACTAGGTCTAGGTTGGTTAAGACTTAGTCGAGTATGGTTTAGACTAGGTCGAGTATGGTTCAGACTAGGTCGAGCATGGTTCAGACTAGGTCGAGCATGGTTCAGACGAAAATAAAATGGTTAAGTACTGGTCGAGTAAGGGTCGAGTACAAGTTCAGACTGTTAAGTATGGTATAGACTACAGTCAAGTATTATCAAGTACATTTCAGACCAATTCAGACTGGTCAAGTAAAAATCAGTACAGTCGAGTACAAATATAGGCCATTTCAGACTTTTACTGGTTTGTAGTGTATGGGCTCTTAATGGTCAGCAACAATGCAACGTAAGGAGTGGAATTTGTTAAAAAGTTCGAACACCATGCCCGCCAGCTTTCCCCTTAATCCCCCCTCTCCCCTTAATTTGTCTCGTATGCATGTCATATAATTCGAATTTATGTTGGAGGCAAACACCTAAACATTTTTTTAAAACATTCATTAGGTATATTTGAACATGAATCTTCAGATTGCCCTGATTGCACATGCAAGATCATTTCTTATTTGGGTGCTTATTCCAATTTATAATATATTACAAAAAACAACAAAAATATCAAAAACATATGAATAAATGACTCTGTGCATGCATCATACTAATGGCTATGTATTGCCTGCATTTAATAAAATTGCTTAGGCAG